AAATATCGGTAATAATCAATCGAAGTCTGCATTAATATATGTTATTTGCCGGCTGGGAGGTCCCATGGTGAAAAACTGTGACCTCGGTCACAGTTTTTCACCATACACGCCGACCCTAAGCCAGTAAATAATATACTTTAAATTCTTGCCAAAACTGAACCCGAATGATTTAGGGCTCTAAATACGGCAAGATCTTCCATAAACAGAACAGTTTTTGAGCGAGTAAACGGTAGCTAAAATAGAGGTGAGGCAAATTAAAGAGAAGAGCTTTACCGAAACATTTTCATTTGCATAATGATAAAGGTGATTTAAAAGGCTTCCAAAAAAACTTTGAAACATTATTTTTACAAATATCTGACACCTGTCAATTAGAGAGCGCGTAAGGAAAAAAAAAAGCGCATGAACACTTTTGGAAAACAACGAAGCTAGTTTGGCAAGGACTGTCACGACAATGTTTCCTTCAAAAACAGTCTCTGATCCAACGGAAAGTACTATTCACTCTCATCGACGGTTAATTCATGAACGAAGATTTACCTCTGTTCATTAAGTAAGTTTTCCACAAAAACTAAATTGGAATGATACACTCCAACGAGACACAAGAAGATTTAATGCGGCTTTTTTTCATCGAATTCCTCCAGTTTCTGTTATGCAATTTACGGTACAAATCTCCAAATTGAACGGACTTGGAAAGACTCACCAAGAGCGTACATTTGTTGTAAAACTGAAATCAAAACTTCGCTCGCTCTTTCACTACGAACAAATTGTTTGAGAAAATTCAGATATCAAATGAATGAAAGTTCCATCGATTTGTTCAACTGTAACCAAATACCTCATGTGTTAACTTTCATAGGTAATTTTTGTGAACGATTGAAATTAATTCCGCTTGTCACTTAATGACACGATTGCTTATACAAATTCATTCTCAATCCAATCTTTTTCTGTCAACCACAGTGATTTGATAGAGAGAAAAGAGAGGATTCATAAGTTATTTATCGGCTTGAGGTTGTGACCAACATCGTTGCTTAAAAATACTGCCCACTCGGAAAAACGAGATACATTTATGAAAAGTGGCAACGAAAGTAGGGATGTACTCGGCGACTTACGAAAGCGTTACCGTGGCCCGTGGGCAGAGATAGGAATACTGATCGGATAAAGAACCAATCAGACTGCAGGATTCGTTACCGTGCCCTCTGAGAAAAAAGAAAAAAAAGAAGCTTTTATTGACAGCCTATCGAGTGATAACATAGCCTGTTTTAGGCGATCAGCTAGTAAAACGAAGTGCACAGTTAACGGCGCGATAGCCACGGCGAAGCGAAAAAAGAGTGAGGCTTGGGTCGAGTTGGGTAAAGATAGGCGTTCACCCGACCCGACCCGACCCAAGCCTCCTCCGTTTTGCACTCCATTGCTGCTATCATTTCTACTAGTCACTCCGTTTTACTAAACGAACGCCTGGAAAAGACTAGCGACAGCAACAGCAACTAAATATGAGCCCTGCTTATAGAGATATACTCAAGGAGGCTCCACGGGGTTTTACTCAATGGCGCGCGCGCCAGCGTAATGTCTTCCGGAAAAGTTTTTATGCTTTCGCTTTGCAAGGTCACTAAAGGCTATCAAAAGGCAATGAGCAAGGTTCCAACTATCGTTTGCTGTAGTAAATATTATCAAAATGATTTTCGTTATTAAGCGAACGCTCCACGAAGAGGGGCCCTCGTCAGCGATATTTTGATTTGCCTTTGATTTTCTTCAATTTGCTTAGGTGAAATCTCTCTCAAAATCTTCACAAATTAGTGGCTGATGAAGTAAAAAATTGTGAAAACTCTCAATTGACACTTGCAAATCTCTCGCATCGCTTGTAATTTTGTATCAGTCTGCGTTGAAATACTCTTGAAATAATGTGCGATCGCGATGTAGACCTATCTTCAGCAAGCTTTACTGAGAGTTGTGATACATCGTACACAAAAAGTAAAGAAGAAATGGAAATAAACCAAAAGCTAAATTTTGACTAAAGAATCAGCTCTATCATGAGGCGCGATAATTTTTCACCGAGAAGTCATCGGGCAGTTTCACTGCAAAATCTTCTTTCCTCAGAGACTGCAAAGGCAGAGGCTACCGTCGCGATCGTCTATCCGGTCGAACCGTACGGAAAATGAATGAGTTTATCGTCATCTGATTGAAGTTGATCTCTAATAATGATTTCAATGAAGAAAACCTTGTTTAGTTTAAGTGCAGCATTGCCATATGACCCATTCCATTCAAAAGAAATAATTGACATCAGTATTATGAATGAATATTTCGTTCGCATCGACTTTCAGACGGCACTTGGATTCGCTACCACCTAATTCAATAAAATTTGTGTTCCCATATTTATCTCGTTGCAGTGCTGTTATTCACAATGACATTGCTACTGTTGTTACTCTTAGTTTCTAGACAGATGGGGGATTTTCGGAAACCTAGTTTAGAAAAATACACGGCCCCTCGAGCTTGTCTCTATGCCAGTATCTGCCGGAGGTTTCACATTGATCACGCAGCAGGATATTGGTCAGCTCAGGGAAGGGCTCGAACTTTATTACAAATGATGTGAGCTTGTTAGCTCAGTTGGTAAAGCGCTACACCGGTATCACAGAGGTCATGGGTTCAAATCCCACACGGGCCTGGATTTTCTTTAGGCCTTATTTCAACTACTAGTTTAGTAGTACTCATAACTGCGAAGATCGCTTCTATAATCGTTTCTTCAACCGCGGTGCACTTATATAATTTTAATATACTTACAGTGATGTAAATCTGTTATTAAAATACGATAGAAGCTACAAGTGGTAGGATTTTCATACGATAAGAAAAGCGCGAATGTAGTCATGCGGAAAGAGAAGGAGAATGAGTAATTCTCACGGGCTTGAAACAAACAATAAGGTACTTACCATTCTTCGCTTGCTAAATGTCAGCCGAAAAGAATGTTGAACAATCGTGTACGGTGTGGGAACAGGCCCCTTAATCAGAATTCTTTTTGTCTGAATTCACGGGTTATCTTCCCCTGATTCGACAAATGGTACGTATATATTCGTAACAGGCGTCTTTGAAGCCAGTATGGAGCAAAAGGCCGACGATATTGAAGAGTAAAATTTCCTCGATGTCGACGATCTAAACGCGTGCACTTTGGCCATACAGCTGCACACTTTAGAAAGAAGTAAATAGAAATACCCAGTATATGTGTATTATTCTTGTAGGTAATATTATTTGGGACTCTAGCCATGCAACAAGTTCGTCCTTTCCCCTTGATTTCTCCTTTCTCCACCATAATTGCCGACGTGTCTTCACAGTTTTCTACGTCACAGCCAACATGATCGTTAATTTAGCCGCGCGTTAATGGAGACACTTTTTGGCCGCCAAATCGTACTTTCAAGGCACAAAAAAATGGTCAAGGATAACTTGCTTGGCGCTAAGGTCGATTTATTTCTAATTCTAAATACAGATACAAACTAGAAAATGCCAAAAAAAAAATCGTGTCAAAGGCACTTTAACAGCCTGGGACACTCTACATCATTTCATCAAATTCTACTTTAAAGTCCGTTTCACTTTGGCTTGCCTGGCTTAGCTCATGACTCAGCAAGACAAAGTAAATAAAGGAGCCTTTTAAAATTTCCTGGAGTATTTTAGAACAGAAGTCTACGATATAAGGAAATCGCGGAGGGAAATCAGTCGATCGATGAATAATTTTGAACTTTAAACATCGCTGACCAAATTTATTTGATTATCATTTTATCGATGAAATATATCTTCATTTATGGCAACTTCCTCTAATCATTTTCTGATCAAAACTTCGCATGCAACCTGTCTTTCATTCCGTGATATTTGTAACGGTCCCCAGGTTGAAAGGCAAGCGTTAAAGTTTTTGAACCAAATGTTTACGCCTAATTCGCTTCTTTTTTTTTTCTTCAGAATTTTAAAAACATAAAATCAATTTTTGTCCATCAGATGAAATTCAAGCGCGGAAATGATCCTTGCCGTAGTGAGCCTTTATACAAACCTTTTTAATTAGGAACAGGGGTAGGTACTCAAGAGGGAGTGTGAACACCTTTTGTACTCGATTTTCATTAAAACGAGAGAATGTTCTGTCATAAGACCAGCTGTGTATACAGGTCGTGTAATAGAGTCACGAAAAGTTCTCGAATATTCGAATTTGGTTATGAAAGGGCTTCTAAAATTACTTCTTCAAAGAAATCTATGGATAACTTTCTGAGGACCACAGTTTTGCACTCAATAAACAGTCTTACTGGATGTTGGTAACGTACTGAGAAACAGCTAGCTGTCTTATCAACCGTGTTAGGGTTTATTTCCATCATTTCTTATCATAATTTCCTTCTGTTATAGTTTTCGAGCTAAATCTTTGGCAATTGATTGGTCTCAAACGATAAGAAAAAGAAAGATGATCAACTCTTTTTCTGAACATTTCCTTCTGTGTATTTGAACACATGTCAACAAAGTGCACATCTTTAATATACACAGTTTCGTTATGAACACTATGGCTAATTCTCAATCATGACAAAATCGAGCGGCTGGTTCCTTTACAGTTCGTTATCACAAACCATATTTCTGAGCTAAGGTGACATATCTCACCACGTTTAGATCGCAAAGCAAAATCGTGGACGCGTTCTGATTCTAAGATAATAGCCTTCACTTCTTCATTACAAATGCGCATATTGGGGAGATGTTATCGTTTTGTCATGGCTACGAAACTACAATTTTTCACCTGTTAGTTGTTCGTAAGAAAATTTAAATACAATATACTATTTAGAGGTAGCTCTTATATTATATTATCTTTCTTATATTTTTCCTCACTCTTTTCATCATGAAATGGCATATTTACCTCTCTCTTCTTATAATCATAATTTTTTGAATAAGCTATAGGAGAAACGGTACAAGCCAAAGTTAAAATACGTCTACCCCAATGTATAGCAGATAATTTGTCTGATTGTCAGCTTTACTGCTCGTCTCACTTCACTTTTCTTCCAGCAGTAAAGGAACGGGTTTAAAGTAGAGTTAAATAACACTAAGACGTTTGTCAGTCCCTGGATTATGATGAAATTCGGAAATCGCTTTGTATTAAGAGACAACGCAATTTTGACTGCAGTATGTGGTACATAACAGACAACTAAAGCTAACTGTACCCACAGTGCACTGTACACTGCCTTTCTGTATCGCGCCATGTTTAATGCACTTGGTTGGCTTGGCTGTTGTTGAGCATGATCTTGTATTTGAGCCTGATGATGACTGAGAGCGCGGAAAATCTTTGTGTATGAGGCAGTGGAGGTAACTAAGCAAAATAACGAAATTATAAAGCTGCACCAAATGGTTATAGTGTAATTGAGAAGTAAGAATAAACCAGCGAATAGAGATATAAACCAAAAGATAGCTAAAATGATATACGTGCGCCTCAAAGTTACAATCTCTTTGTATCTCAGTCTCAACAACAGGGCGAGAAGTCGGTCCACGCTTATGGCCGTCAGCGTCAACAGTGAAACTAAACATAACACATAGCCTGTTACACTGGTTGCGCTTAAAGAGTATCGACAAAGACTCCAGTGTTCGTGAACCAAGGATATCCAATAAGTAGCATAGAGAGGCTGGGTAATAAAACCAATCAAAAGATCAGTTGTTGCCAGACAACGATACAAGACTTTGGATGGCGGACGGAGAGAAGATACCTTGTGAAGGGCAACAAGGATAAGCGAATTCCCAAGAGTTGCTAGGATGGAGAGGAAAATGTTGGCTGCTGAGAATGAAACGGACTGCTGTTTAAACTCAGCTACCCGAATCGAGAAGCATTCCGGTCCTTCAAACGTTTTCGTCTGTGTTTCATTTCCCGTTATATTTGTTGTCGCCATCATCTTGCTGTCGTTTTACCCTTTCGTACGTTATCCTTATTTACAACGGGAAATATTTGGTCTTAACAGCACCCTCAAAGTCAAGATCGGTTAAACTTTAGTTTTTGAATAGCAATTGCAGAGAGTTAAAACTCATCAGTAGCGTCCGACTTTGTAAAACCCCCAAAACCTGTGAGGTTTGTGAGACGAAAGAAGAAAAAAAGCCAGTTTTTTTCGCGAATTTGAATTAGTAATTGGGGGAAAGTAAAACTGCATTTGTGATAGGGTGATTTCACAATACTGCATAAAAAAACCTCCTCACCTAAATAAACATTCAGCGGTAGTATACCGACAGTCGACCTTTGGCCGACGCATCGGCCGAAGTATTGTTTAAATCAAATTCGCTGCCTTACTCGGATAACAGCGTGAATTATTAACTCACTTGATCTTAGGACGCCACGAATTGGTATCAGCTTAGGCATATTGAGAGATAAAGTCCAATTTAAAAACTATTGCAGGCTTCGGATGCAAAGTTATTCTAAATATATCGGCATTGAGAAAAATAGATAGCTAGATTACATGAAGCTATTCAAAATTAATGTATGTTTACAGATGTATAGTTACCTCTAAAATATTCGAATTTTCTTCTTTGTTCTCTAAGTGTCACACCTGACTGGAACTTTAAGACAATGGCAATCTCTCTACCGATCAAACCGCCTTTATGCCCTAAAAAGTCTGATAATAGACCTAGCGGTGAACAATTTATTTTAAACACTATTAACAATGCACTCTTTTGTAGGTTATCCTTAGCTACAAACAAGGAATTCAATTATTCCTCCCACGAGAGACATTTCGTGTGCAAATTATCTCTGGTTCTAAGGCGGAAGTTTGCTTCGGAACAACGCTGTTTGCCTTAGTTACTTGTTTATCAAATTGGTAAACGACATTTTGGATATAGCATCGTCTAAAAGCGACAAATTTATACTTCCTACAATCGTAGTTCAGGCTTGAAGACTGATTTCCGTGAAAACAATTTATTGCGTAGAAAATGGAAGGCCTGCTGTGAGAAATAACTGGTGTTACCTCTTCAGTTACACAGGTTGCCTTTTGTGTTCATCACAAAACGCTGTGCGCCCCGTGATTGGTCATAGCATGTGATTCGTTGGAACAAAAGTGCGTCAGTTAAAACCATTTTCTTTATGAACAATTTGCCGAAATTGCGCAGAATTTGAGGCTTTTTTTTAATTATTAATATTTTTGTTACACTTAAGTTTAGGTGGTGAGCAGTCCGAAAATAAACAGAAAATTAATATGAAGCATAATACGAACATCAGTGTCGCAGCAGCCTTTGAATAGGAAGCCGCTTCCTTTTCCTTAACGGAATTTGATGTTGCTATAATCTCTCCATCTATTCCTTAATAGATGAATAAATAAAGCATCATCCAATGTCAATGTTTTCAGTCCTTTTTTCACTTTTCAACATCTAGTTGTAAAGTGGAGTCACTCAGATTCAGAAAAAGTTTTGGACGTGACATGAATATCTGTTAAATGGTGAAAAACTCTGTTGGCGGCTGGTTACTTAAACAACAGCATTGCACACCGATTATATTCCTTTTAAATTAGCAACCACTACTTTGGCGAGTGACATCAAAAAAGACAATTTACAGCTACAAGTAAGGATACTAGTGCCGAAATTCGAATTTGGTTGGGATATAATTTGTTAGAATTTGATTCCCCTTTGAGAATTACAATTGATTGTTTTCCTGAAATATTATTCGTAGTTAGAAGTAAAGATAACATTACTTAAGCAGTTTTCTCGAGAGGAAGGATATCAATGAAATTTGAATTGATGTTGAATTGTGATGAAAATTCAGGTTCACTGTGGTAATGAGGATGAAGGCCGTCGATGAAGAAATTGTCGAAATAAATTTAAAAATAGAATTTTTTTCTTTTTTAGCTGCCTTGTTTTTAACTGATTAGGAATAAACCTATGAAAATCAAACGCCGAGATCTCAACCATCATAATATATAGATTTAGCCAAGCCTAAAAGCGGAGCTCTTGTTAATTTATTTTCTAGCTCTCATTATTCTGAGTAAAAACCGAAATTAAACTCTTCAGCACTGGCTGTAGAAGATCCGGGGTGGGGAAGGGGGGAACAACTGACGAGGGCTGGAACCTGGGGACGATGTTCTCACAACTTGCAAGGTGATCAACACGCATGCTGGCGAGGGGCTTACGCTCGAAATCTCATCTTTTAAACTCTTTACAGTGGCCAATTTACGTTATCAACTCAGATTATAAAACTAAATTACCCTTAATTTCTTGTTCTTGTTTCAAGCACGCTGTCATGTATATGGGAAGTGATTGGATTCATTTTGTTGCTGTTTTCTGTGCGATTACCTTTGATAATGAAAATCACAATCGAATACTAAAGAGCTTAAAGTTGTCTGTTAATTACAGTTAAAAATAATTGACTGATTACTAACCCTTTCAATTCTTAGTGAGGTACAGAGTCCTGCGTACAACGCGGCCAGCGGAGTTATTCAAGGCGGGCCAGCCAACGTAAACACACATCTAAAGAATCAACTTGCAAGAAGTAAAAGAGAACAATTTTATAACTTAAGAAGTGGATGAGTTAAAAAGGGGTAACTAAGGAGATACAAGTCAACTTTTATTTCCCCATTTTTAAGACTTTATAAGATAAAGTGTTACCCATTTTTCATTTGCTCTGCAGTCTCATAGAAGAGACTTCTGGTTATAAAATGATTTGCCTCGTGCTTTCTAATCCGTGTGGAAATAAAAAATCTAATTAAGTTGTGTGACAGTCTACATTTGCTATAAATGACAAGGAATCGAATTTCTTAACTAAACAAACATTTTTCCAGCTAATAATGAATGAAATAAGGCTTTCCTTTCCTTGTTTCCCGATTTTGTTACCTTATCAATACGAATTTGACACTCTGTTTTTCAAGGCTTACTCATGGTAGTGTCGCAGATTTCTATACTAAATCGCTTCATTTTTAGTTTAGTTTAGTTTTTAGTTAGACATTTTCTTTCTAGGTGTTTGTTTATAGATCAACATTTGCTAGTTAAACGTGACATCTGTTTTTACTGGGAAATTTGACCCAGAATTTAACCCGCTGACTCAGACGATTCAAATTACAAAAATGGCGGGAGACGAAGTGTTCTTGATGAACTATCTTGTGCCGGTTTTCGCTATATCTATGTGAACGAATATGGAAATCCTGTCGATTTAAAGTGAAGACAACACCCATCTGTTTCTGGTTCTGTACGCCAGCGGCATGAAATAAGTGTGGTCCTGGCCTGTAAACGGCCAGGACCACTAACCAGGACCACACCAGGACCACTTTTTTGTACTAAATTCTTTTGCAATTTATTGATGATGAATTGCAATTTGAAATCACCTAACCTGAAACAAGGTAATTTGGCCATCGTAAAGAGTTTCAAAGCTGAATTTTCGAGCGTTAGCCCTTCGTCAGAGCGAATGGAGGAATTATGGGTTGTGTGAGTGTTTATATGCAGAAACGCCATATATGGGGATGTAGGGAAAAGCCGCAATAAGATTTAAGTGTCTAACGACTGATTTGGATGCGTCCTTGTCATTTCTGTCTACGTCGCGAAGGTGTTCTTGGAATCGGTCACCTGGTCGTCTTCCTATTTCACAAATGTATAACTTTTAGCAATAAGCGCAAGTTATGCAGTAAATGACATTGGTGGAGGTGTAAGTGAAGTGATCAATAGTCGTAATGGATCTCTTTGGTCCGACATTTTCCCCACACTATAAATGAAAGGACAGGTTTTGCGTCGTGAGCGAGCGCTTTTGAAAGTTCCAGGTTGTCATTAGTTTAAAATGAACTTCTGACCAAAAAGTTGCCTATGTTTTTGTCGCGTTTGAATGAAATTAATGGAGGTTGTGAAGAGATAGTACCCGTTGCAAACGCTTTCCTGAGAGCGAAGCTCGAAGAAAACTGCGCTTTTACGAACACATAATGGCCATAGACTAACATGCGAGCATATTTCGCGCCATGGGGCAGGTTATTTTGTTTATTATCCCTCAAATGTTTTTGCAACGCCCTTGAAAAATCTTACGTAGGATGTTCACTTTTTATGAACAAACATATTTCTTCCTCTGGAACAATCACAAAACGTTCTTTCATCTTGAATAAAGTCACAAAAAAGACTTAAATCCTACTGGAAGTATAAGTTTTGAAAATTGGCGAATATGACTCAAGCTATATTCTCGGATATTCCCCAGTTTTAACCGGCATATTCGGTCAACTGATGCATTTAAACCAATCTGGTGCGAGCAAAAATATTTGATGGATTATAAAGTTAATTATTGACTAAGTTTTTCATAGAGGCTTTTTCCATAAATTTCATATCCCCCCACCAACGACTGTTTTCAACTTTGTATTTTCAGAACATTTCTAACACAACGCTCCACAAACTCTCCCACAGATTGTGCAATTTCAGTTTTCACAAAGTTACGTTGCCATATCAACTTCATAATTTTGAACGAAGTTAAACTTCGAGTAAGTTCACCAAAAAATTAAAGCCTCGATAGGTTTGTAGAGCAGCCTTTCACAAAAGTTCACCAAATTTGGAAGAAAACAGATGAAACCAAAGCAAAATGGAAAAATTTCCGCACAGCCCCATACTTCATTATGCATGCACATCTTATTAATTATGCATTCTACCCTTTGTCTTTGAATACAATAGACAATTCCCTTGGTAATTGAATATATACATCCCTAATTATTACTTACCGCACTAATAAAAGAGGAATTTTTTTACAGCGTTCCTTTCCGCGCTGTTTTTCCCTCTCTCTCTCTCCATTTTCACCTCTTTCTCTTTCCCATTTCTCTGGCAGGCATCCTTCCTTCAAGGCCCCTCTCGGTCTATTGTTTTTTGTTTTTTTTTTACGTTACCTGCAGGGTTCGAACTCTCAATTCTATCTATAATTCTCTAGTCTTCGTCAGACTAGCAGTCTACCCTCTATACCATTGTTCTACATCTGCTTCTTGCCGATAAAGGGTAACTTTCAAAATTATATTTCTAATACCTCATTCAAATTCCAAAAATTAACACTGAAATCATTTTCCTCACCTTTAAAACATGTTGGATTTTGCACGAAGAAATGAGACGTGTCACCGCGGTCGCTACGTCCAAATGTCCAAAGAGAAATCAATGGGACACCTGATGCCTTTTTGAGAAAAAGGCAGCTTCAGATATGGAAAGAAAAATCAGTGGTAAACATTCATTTAAAGAAACTAGAAGTCAATAAGAACATTCTCAATTCAACCACCAAAGGTTATAACTAATAAAAAACCATTTACTTTAAATGTTTGTAGACGTTCATTTATACGATGTTTGACAAAACCCTCCAGCTTTTTCAGACGGGTCACACGAATCGTTATTAAACCTAAATAAGAAAAAGAGAGCTGGAAATAATATATGTCTAAACCAAAGTTTCTTCCATACACATTTCCCCTCTTAATTCCCCTTCTTTCATTGAATTTTCATCCTTTCCTTTCTATTCTAATTGATCCAAATCAAAAGTGGAAGTCGGTTTACTGGAACGAGAAATTGTATTCTGCGTTAATTTTCTTTTCGGTTATTTTCCTTTGACTCAAAGTGGATTTGGAAATAAGATGAGGAAGAGTTTTTTTTAAAAATTTTTTTATTTTTTTAATACACATGGCAAGTGATCGGGGCTAATACTTTTTCCACTCATTAGATAATTCAAGAGTATTCCTCTTCAGATATCAAGTTGACTTAGAGACTTTTTTAAACACAATGACTCTGATCTGAATTTGATTCTGTTGGATGATTAAAGATATCCTGCCTCCGATCGAGTAAAAATTTGATCAAAACTTGTAACGTGCTGGTTCACAATGTATAGTGGTCATGTCACATCGAACATTTATAAACATATGTTTCAAGTAGTGATATTTTTATTTTCATTAAGCAAATTTCATATCGAGGTAAAAGGGGAAAACGATTTTCAAGAGACAAACACTAATGGCCGCGCTATTGAAACCAGGAACATTTATATCATTCCATCAGTTCCACAGGTGATATACTATTTAGACAAGAAAACATTTCCGTAATTCTGTCTCCTTTTATGATAGTAACATGAAGTAAATCGACCATCCGTACTAAAAAATGTTGGATATTGAAAGTATGTTTAATTTCATCTTTGTTTTTAGGATTCAATTTGATCATGGGGCAAACAAGTCATTTGCAAAGAAAACGCATTATCAATTTATTTAAGGCGTTGAGTCAAGTATACGAATCTGTTTGAATCTACTCCATACGTTTTACTTGTAACTGTCCCCAGTACTTTTCAACAAAACAAAATGGAAGCCTCATCGGCCTTATTAACACGCTTTTGCGTCCATCCGTGATTGTTATGAAAAAAAAAAAAAAGAAAAAAAGGAAAAAAAAGAAAAAAAAATTACCAATACTTTCCTGTAAGGAGACTCAAGGTTTCTTCTTTGTCTTACGCGCGGGACAAGACAAAAAATATTTTCTTCTCTAGTTCAGTAACGTGCTCAATATTTACCATCTTAGTTATTCCATTTTCCTCATCTATAATGCCAATTTTTGAAAAGGATAATCGGTATGGGAAAAATAGAAAGCTGGATTGCATGAAACTATTCAAAATTAATGTATGGTTACAAATGCATAGTTACTCTTAAAATATTTATATTTTTGTTCTTTGTTCTCTTCGTTTCGCACCTGACTGGAACTTTTAGATCATGAAAATCTCTCTACCGATCAAACTGCCTTGAACTGTCCTAAAATGTTTGAAAATAGATGTAGCGGTGAATAGCTTTTTTGTAAATACCATTAACAACGCAAGCCTGTACTAGTTATCCTTAATTAAAAACAAGGAATTCAAACATTCTTCTCACCGGAGACATTTTGTGTGCCAATTGTCTCTGGTTCGGAGGCGGAAGTTTGCTTCTGAACAATGCTGTTTGTCTCAGTTACCTGTTAATCGAATTGGTAAGCGACATTTTGGATGTAGCATCGTATAACAGGGACAAATCTATACTCCCCGTGATCATTGTTTCAAAAGAAATGGTGAAAAAATCAGTGTTTGACTAAGGAAAACCTTTTGTAAAAGCTATGGACAAATGACGAAGTGCTTAGCCAATGCTGTGATATCGGAACTTGTCAGAATTATGATCACATACGTGCGGCAAAGGTTGCAGTGCAGATTCTACTCGGTCAGGGAGCAGTTCGAAGACTTCCTTTGGATGAGTCTCTTGTCACCAAGACCATGTTATTTAGCCCAGGTTTTGTATGAGTTTTTTTTTCGAAAAACTACCATAATAACGATTAAAGTTGTCACGTATACAATAGATGATTTCATATATTTTTTCTCGATTCCTCTTTCGTAGTGAGTGGATCTACTACTGACTTGAAGAAAATATCTGTAGCATTCAGTTGTATTCGGCATCACAGCTTTTTTTGTGATAGTTTATCGAGTGACACATAGCCTGCTCGAAGCGTTCACCGGCAAAACGAAGAGCCCAATAAGCGGCGCGATAGTCACGGCGGAGCGAAAAAACAGTGAGGCTAGGGTCCAGTCGGGTAAAGAACAACGTTCACCCGGCTCGACCTGAACCGACCTGGACACGACCCGACCCGAGCCAAGCCTCCTTGTTTTTTCTCTCCACCGCTACTATCGCGCCATGCACCATTTTCGCTCTGTTTTACTAAATGGAAGCCTTTAAATTTAAAGGCTTGTGACAGCAACAGCAGCTATGGGCTCTGCTTATAGAGATATGCTTAACAGCCTGTGACATTCTACATCATGCATCGTTTCATCGTATTCTGTTTAAAGATTAGTTTCAGCTTAGCTTGCATGGCTTAGCTCATGACTCAGCAAGACAAAGTAAATAAACTAGCATTTTAAAAATTTTCTGGAGTATTTTAGAACAAAATTCTACGATATCTAGAAATCACGGTTGGAAATCAGCGGATCCTGGTAAATAATTTTGAACTTTTAAACATCACTGACCAAATTTATATAATTCTCATTTCATCTATGAAATATACCTTCATTTATGACATTTATGGCAACGTTAACTTTTTCATATTATTTACTCATAAAAAATTTGCATACAACCTTTTATTCAATCTGTAATATAAGTAATAGTCCCGAAAATGAAAGGGGAAATGTTAAAGAAACCACTTAAACAACTTAAGAGCGTAGTGATTTTTAAACCAAAGTCTTATTCCTTCCATTATACTTATTCCTTTTTTTCAGAATTTTAATGACATAAATCTTTTTTTGACCATCAGATGAAATTTAAGCGCGGAAGTAATACTTGAAGTGGTGAGCTGTCATACAAACCTTTTTAAATTAGGAGTAGTGGTAGGCACTCAAGAGCGTGTGTCAGCAGCTTTCGTACTCGATTGTCACGAAATGATAAAATGTTTTCTCATAATACCAGCTTTGTATACATGGCCTGAGATAGAGTCACGTATTTCCCTTGAATATTGGAAATTGGTAATAGGAATGCTTTTAAATTAACAGCAAAGAACGGGTTTAAAGTCGAGTTAAAGAAAGCTACTAAAACATCTGCCATGCCCTGATTATGATGAAATTCGATAATCGGGTTAAAATCAAAGATATCACAATTTCCATATAAGTCATAGAAGAAACAGTACATGCCAACGTTAAAATAGATCTACCCCTCTGCAAAGCAGATTGCATGTCTGATCGTCTGCTTTACTGCTCGTCTCACTTCACTTATCTTCCGGCAGTAAAGGAACGGGTTTAAAGTAGAATTAAAGAATATTAAGACAGTTGCCATTCCGTAAATTAAGAAGAAATTCGAAAATCTCTTTGTACTAAGAAAGATCACAATTTTCACTGTAAATTGTGGAAAATAACAGACAACTAAAGCTAACTGCACCCAAATCGCATTGTGCACTGCCTTTCCGTATCGCGCCATGTTCAGAACATTTGGTTGGTTCGGCTGTTGTTGAACATGATCTTGTATTTGAGCCTGATGATGACGGAGAGCGCGGAAAATCTTCGTGTACGAGGCGACTGAGATTACCATAGCAGATGGTATAATTATGATGCGGTACCAAAGGCTTATACGGTAATTGAGATAAGAGAATAAACCAGCGACTAGAAATGCAACCCAAACGATAGCTAAAATGATATGAGTGCGCCTCAAAGTTACAATCTCTTTATATCTCAGTCCCAACAACATGGCGAGAAGTCGGTCCACGCTTATGGCCGTCGTCGTCATCAAAGACACTCCGCATAATACATAGCTTGATATGACGATTGCGTCCTTTCCGTATCGACAAAAACTCCAGTGTTCGTAAACCACGGACATCCAGTAGGCAGCATAGAGAGGCTGGTTAACAAGACCAACCAACAGATCAGTTGTTGCCAGACAACGATACAAGAGTTTGGTGGATGGAGGGAAGATTCTTTGTGAAGAGCAATAAGGATAAGGGAATTCCCAAGAATTGCTGTGATGGAGAGGAGAATGTTGACTGCTGAGAATGAAATGGACTGTTGTTTAAAATCACCTAACCAGAGTGGGGAACATAGCGATTCGTCAAATGTTTGCGTATGTGTTCCACTTTCCATTAGATTTGTTATCGCCATCATCCTGCTGTCGTTTCCACTCTTTTGGAAGTTATCCTTAGATACAACGAGGAGTAATTCGTCCTAACAGCACCCTGCACAGTCGAAGTCGGTTAAATCTTTTTAAACCTTTTGCTTTTGGATAACAATTACAGAGAGTAAAAGTTCATCACAAGCGTCTGACTATGTATAATGCCGGAAAGCCGTGAGGTTTGTGACACGAAAGAGCAAGAAAGGCCAGTTTTTCTGCGCGAATTTGAATTACTAATAAGGGGAAAGTAAAACTGAATATGTGATAGGTTAATTTTCCAAGAAAACATAAAAAAAAAATTATTTACTCAAATAAATCTTCAGTGATAGGATATCGGAAGTCGACTGATAGTTCGTCGATAGTCGACCGACGCCTTGATCAAAGCATAGGCCGACGTGTTGTTTGGATCGGACTCGTTTCCTTACCCGGATAATAGCGTGAATTATTAATTCACGTGACCTTGGGATGATACGAATTGTCAACAGCTTAGAAAAACGTAGAGAAAAAGTCCAGTTTCAAAATTAATGTTGGTTAGAGATGCAAAGTTATTCAAAAAAGATTTAATTTTTTTTTCCTCTACATGTCGCATCTTTTAAAGGGTGGAAATGTTGGTCAAAACATGAAAAAGAATCAATTCCCCCCCACGGGACACAATGTGTGTGCAAATTACCACTGGTTTTAAGGCGGAAGTTTGCTCCTGAACATCACTGTTTGTCTTAGTTACCTGTAATTGGTAAACGGCATTTTGGACATGGCATCGTATAGTAGGGACAAATTTATACTCTCTGTGACCATTGTATCAAAAAAAAAACAAAAACAAAAACAAAAAAAATGAAAACGTCAGTGTTTGACTGAGGAAAACCTTCACTAATAGCTATTGACAGACGATGAAGTGCTTATGCCAATGCTGTGATACCGGAACTTGTCAGAATTATGATCACATACGTGCGGCAAACTGAAAAACAAAAAGATTGCAACACAGATGTTACTTGGTCAGGAAGCAGTTGGAAGACTTCCTTTGTATGAATCTATGGTCACCAATACCCTGTTATTTTAGCAAAGGTTTTGAGTAAGTTTTTTGAAAAACTATACATGTGTTAGCTTTTTTTCTACAACACGGTTTTGCTGCCGAATAAAAATATTCAATCATTTAATAGGCGCAAAGCATAAAGTTACAGAAACCTTTTTTTGTTACATTGTTTGCTTATTAAACCATTCAGTAAGATAAATTAAATTAATTTGTTATGTGTACCACAGGTGATAGCATTCATTTTGTCTCTCGATTCCTCTTTCGTTATAAGTGGCTCCACTACTGACTCGAAAAAATATATGTTGTAGTTTCTTGTACTCTGCATCGGAGCTTTTTCTTTGACAACTTATCGAGTAATAAGACGGCCTGTTCGAGCAGTTCAGCTAGTAAAACGAAGTGCACAGTGAAAGGCGCGATAGTCTGGGCGAACCGAAAAAAGAGTGAGGCTTGGGTCGAGTCAGGCAAAGAACGTCGTTCACCCGACCTAACCCGACCCGACCCAAAACTCTCCCGTTTCATCACTCCACCGCTAATATATTGCCGTGTAGCATTTCGTTTCGTTTTACTAAATGAAGGCCTGGAAAGGGCTAGTAATAGCAACAGCAACTAAATACGAGCTCTGCTTATAGAGATATGCTAAACAGCCTGGACCATTCTTGATCATTTCATCATATTCTATTTAAAGGTCAGTTTTAACTTGGCTCGCCTGGCTTAGTTCATGACTCGCCAAGTTAAAGTAAATAAAGGAGCATTTTTAAAATTTGCTGGACTTATTTAGAACATGAGCCTTCTCGTTTATTTGAATTTGGTCATAAAAGTGGATTTAAAATTACTTGCTCAAAGAAATCGGTAGATAACCCCCTGAGAACTATAATTTTCCACTCGATAAGCGGTCTTAAGAGAATCTGATAACATACTGAAAAACAGCTAGTCTTATCAAGCATGTTGGAGTTTTTTTTTTTTTTTCAAACATTTCTTCTGCCGTAATTTGAAACTTGCTCTCTGGCAAGCGGTTGATCTTACGCGATAGATGTGAAAATAGTGATAATCGACTTTCTTTTTAAGAATTTATTTCAAAATATTTAAACAGGTGAAAAAAACAAAAAAAACAAAAAAAAAACCAGTCTACATATTTACAAATTGAGCCTGTGGCTCCTGTGACAATCCGTTTACACTTAATCGTATATCTGAGCCAAAGTGACATATCTCATCCATTTTGGATTAAATAGCAAAATCGTAAGCGTGTTCTTCTTGAAAAGAAGAGTCTTCACAGCCTCATTAGAAGTGTGCGAATTCGGCATATGATACTCTTGTGATATAGTTACCAAAGTAAGAGTTTTTTAGATTTCAGTTGTTCTTAAGATTACTTGAATACGATATACAAAATAGAAGTAGCTCTTCATAGTTTTACTTACTCTTTTATCATATGGTATATCCTCTCCACTGTCCTAACAACCATAATTGTTAAAAAGCTTTGGAAGAAAGAGAACTTGTAAACGTCAAAATAGGTCGAAACCTATGCATGGCAAATTGCTTATCTGATTGTCTACTTTACTGCTGTCTTATATCTTTGATCTTCTGAGGGTGAAGAAACGGGTTTAAAGTGGAGTTAAAGAAAACTAAAACATTCGTCATTTGGACGAATCACTATGATGATTGTGATGAAATTCGATAATCGGTTCGAACTAAAAGATATCACAATTTCCGCTGTTAAGCTTGGTACATAGCAGAGATCTAAAGCAAACTCCACCCTCAGTGCACTGTACACTGCCTTTCTGCATCACGCCACGTGCGGTGCATTTGTTTTGTTCGGCTTTTGTCAAACATGATCTTGTAATTGAGTCTAATGATGACTGAGAGCTAGAAGAATCATTGTGTACGAGGCGATTGAGATTACCAAGCGGGATGGAATCAGTATGAAGCTGCACTAAAAGGTTCAACGGTAATTTGCATCCAAACATAAACCAGAAACTATACATAAAATCCAGACGATAGCTAAAATGGTATAATTCGCCTTAAAGTTGCAATCGCTTTGCATCTTAGTCCCAACAATATGACGGGAAGTCGGTCCACGCTCATGGCCATCACCGTCGACAAAGACACTGAACATAACACATAGCCTGTTACTTCGGTTGCGTGGATGAGTATCGGCAAATACTCCAGTGTTCGTGAACCACACACATCCAATAGGTAGCATATATATCTAATCGGTGTAGCTTAAAATGTAGCATAAACCAGCGACACCAGCAGTATCCAAAAAGCAAAAGGCGCCATCCTTTTGTTGTTTCCACTCTTTTGCAGATTATCCATGGTAAAAACGAAGAATATTTGCAGTATATACATCATATATATCCGGAAGAAACAATAAGACTTCACTTGGATGAGTCTATGTACCCCAATACCATGTTATTTTAGCAAAGGTTTTAAGGTTAAGGTGACGTTTTGTTTTTTTTTGAAAAACAAAACTATCTTTCTACAATACGGTTTTACAACCGGACAAAAATATTCAATCATTTCATAGGCACAACGCATAAAGCTACAGAAACCTTTGCAAAACATTACCGTAGTAAGAATTAAAGTTGGATTCATTTTGTCTAACTCTTCATTCCTCTTTCGTAATGAGTTGCTCCACCACTGACTCGAAGAAAATATCTGTAGTAGTCACCCTTAGCCTACATCACAGTTTTTATTGACAGCTAATTGAGTGATAACACAGCCTATTCGAGGCTTTCAGCTTGTAAAATGAAGTGCACAGCAAACGGCGAGATAGTCAAGGCTGACCGAAAAAAAAGAGTGCGGCTTGGGTCGACTTAGGTAAAAGCGGTGTTCTCCTGACCCGACCCAAACTTCTCCCGTTTTCTTTTTTTTTTTTTTTTTTAACACTCCGCCGCTGTTATCATGCCATGCACCATTTCGCTCCGTTTTACTAAAAATGAACGCCTGGAAAAGGCTAAAGATAACAACAGCAACTAAATATGAGCTCTGCTTATAGAGATATGCTTAACAGCTAGGGAGATTCACTTTATCATATTCTGTTTAAAGATCAGTTTCGGCTTGGCTTGCTTGGCGTAGCTCATGACTCAGCAAGACGAAGTAAATAAAGGAACACTTATAAAACTTTCTAGACTATTTTAGATCATTACTCTACGATATCTAGAAATCGCGGTCGGAAATAAGTCGATATCGATCCATAATTTTGAATTTTTATGTACCACCGACAAAATTTATTTGATTCTCATTTTATCTATGAGATATACCTTCATTTATGACATTTATGGCAATTTATCTGTTTCATCTTATTTACCGATCAAAAATTTACATACAACCTGTTATTCATTCCGTGATATTCGTAACGGTCCCGAGGACGAAAAGGAGACGTAAACGTTAAACGGCAGGACATAGAAGAGGTTAGAGCTTAGTAGTTTTTGAACCAAATATTTAAAGCTTTCAAAATACTTATTCTTACTTTCGGAATTTTTAATGCCATAAATAATTTTTTACCACCAAAGATAGTTTATTGGGCAAAGTTTGAGGGATAACTTTTTTCCAATGCGAAATGCCCTGGACCGCTCTTACAGAGATCGCCACTTGAATCATTTTTAACACCGTGAAAGACGCTCATGGTATTGGGAAGTAACTTAAAAGTCAACTTTACGTTTACGAAAGATATAGTTATGATTGGTTGCAACAAACATTTGCTGTGATCGATAAAATTATTCACGGCCCGCTGAGCATTCTTCAGTCAATGCCTGAGTTGGTATTTTTGAAAGGAATCATAAAAACTAACCATGGAATTAGCTCTTTGTACAGCCACATCCAACATACATACATACATTTTATCACTTGGATTTGTATTTGCAGGTTTTTATGCGCCCACAGTTAGCTTGAGTGCTATTCTAGGTGAGTCACATGTTAGACGTAAACCTATTACATAAGCGTTCAAAAATTGCCAATAATCTAATAGTATTGTTTATGAGACAAATTCATTGTTACAGAATAAATAAATTTTCAATATGATATAGAGATATATAGAGATTAGAAATTACAAGTTTGCCTTGAGGCTAGCTACGGATATAACATGTTGGCTGCTATAAAAAAAAGCACTAGAATAACCTTAACCTTTTAAGTGATTTGTTGAATGTCAATAAAAGAGTCTTCTAAAATGAGAATGTCAAAGAGTTGTCTTTTTATTGTCTTTTCTCAATTTTAAGGGCACCTCAGATCAAAAATTTTGTTCTAATTCTTGAGAAAGAATGTAGTCGAATTGATAGTCTAGAGCTTTGTTTATGAAGGTTGTCAGAAGCAGAAGATCGAGTGTTATAAAGATGCATCTCAGAAACATCTTGGAAGAGTTCTCGAATGCTGAAAGGTGCAGCATTCAAGTTTATCTACATTGGCTATGTTATTTTGTCGAAGAAAAAAAAAACAATAGTTGTCCTAAACACATCCCACCCTTAACCTCTCCTCAACACCTTACTCTAACAGAAAGCACATCCTATTCAATACGACTTACGTGCGTTAGGAATATCGGATAGGTCCGTTACTTCAGGGAAACCCTTGGCTTCCTTGTTTCCTTGTCAACGAGTTCATTGACATCCTCATCAGAATCCACACCAGCTTCCTTCTCATTTGAGTTCCCAGCTCTTCTTATGACCACCACGTAAATTGGCTGATTTGCACACAGATCCTCCATTTCAGTACTCAGCACTGAACCTTCGTCAAGCAGTCCCACAACCTTCATTTGTTTTTCAGTTGAAGTGGTTGGTAAGTCTTCAACTGTTCTGGGAGTTTGCTGATTATATAATAAAAAAAAGTCATGAGAATTAAGAATCAGACGCGCCAAAACATTGCGAGGCTGACGGTAAAAGACCCAGGGTGTAGAAGTAATTCAATCTCACTCACCGTCTCTAAAGCTTCCTTTAAAACAGCGGCTGTGGGAGTTTTATTGACTGATCTGGCCACACATAGCAAGCCTTTTCTGCAGCTAGATGAATCATTGTCATTTGCTGCATAAAAAATAAAATTCAGCTTTAGTCAGTACTTTCGGGAAAAGCAATAGTAAAGTGGACACAGATACAGTGAAATGACACACTTGACAGCCTTGAAGTTTGTACTGAGATAAACTGAAGTTATTAGAATAAGTGATAATCATAAAGTTGTATTTATATGGCGCATTTTCCAAATGAATATGTTCTGATGCGCTTTACAGCCCCTCCCCGGGGACTTTGGCCAAATACAGTTTACAATGTTCTCTTTAAATGAAATTTTGCAAGTACCCCTAATTTAGGAATTTGTGGACACAAGGCCAGGCTATAACACCGGAAGGTACGTTCTTAGAGGTGCGTAGGTTCTTTAACGTCCCCTCCTATCCAATACAGGGAAGATGCAGGAGACGGGACCTTTTTTTTTTTTAAAGAATGAGTTCAATACTTCACCGCCCTTACCAACCCAAATAATTTTATTCAACGAATACAAACAAATATTACCTTTTTGAAATCGTAGACTGTATTTCCTGCTGATTCATTTAGCGATGTCTTTGGTACATGGAAAGTCTCTGTCCCCTTTGCAATGTCGATTGAAATCTCTTCTTTAAATATTCCTCTGCCTTCCGACAACTCCAATGAATATTTGCTGACAGAGCTCTAAGAACGAATAGGATTTTTTTTTTAATTAAAGGAGGATGTATTTCTACTAACATGTAATTACATGGATTCCGTCTCGCTATCGTTGGTCAAAAACCAAAATAAAAGATTAAAAAGGAAGTTGGACGGCACTGACTTAGCAATTCTGGTCTTTGTTAACGTAACATTTACTTAACTATGGAATAACAGAAACTGATCTTGCAACGATCGATCTTTATTTAAAAGGAACAATTTAAGAAACAGGCTAAGGGTAACGCAATAAATTTTTAACCCCTAAACATCCGGGATTTCTGGCGACTGGTAACCATACATTTTTCAGTTGACTCTTTGAGAGAATTTGAAGCTAAATCAAGACCAAGTTAATGTTCTCTTTCTTTATTCTCATCATCTTTCGGTCCGACGATGTATTTTAACTACTAGGATATAATAACAAATGATCACTTACCTTCTTCTCTGATGTCAAAGAGGATGACTGGACAGATGCGACCAACAGGGCAAGAAACGAAAACAATGTTGACAACTTGCGTGTCTGTGAAAAAACAGCAAGTCAGTAATCAATTTTAAGCGAATTTCGTTGAAAGTTTATGAAATGCTGCCTTCATAGCAATATGTTTTTTTGTTGGTGCCCGATATTTCAGCGATTTCAATCCCTAAGCAATTTAAGAAAAAGCAACTTTGATTCACTGTCGACATCCACTTCTGCAGTCTCGTAAAACCTTGTTCTCTTTTCAAGAATGTCAAGGGAGTAACTTTCAACCTGAAGCTGAATCACCAAAAGAAAAAACCCTCAGTTGTTTAAAATGTAAAAACTTTTCTTATTTTGTGCTCCCGTACTCAACATTTCACAGGGGTATTATAATCATTCTTATACAAGGTTAATTTGATATGAACACCAATACATCTAGTATGAGAACAAAAATTACCGTACTCAGACGACGGTTCGTGCTATAAACGCTCCTAAATATTTCAAAACTCATCATTTTCACAAACGTTGTAGGGACACAGCAAGTCAAACGCCAGAGCTTCTGATTTGCTTTCAGGCGAGCTTCTACCGTTGAAATGCATGGCGTTTCAGCAATCTCGAAACAAATACTGATAACAGTTTCGAAAAGTTTTCCTGCCTGAAGAAGTTACTCTTGAGAGTTGCAGGATTCAATTCAACGTTCCTTGAAAGTTGATGGTCATACAAACGGTCATAACGTTAAGTGCTCATCATTTTTTTAAACCTAATTTAGAGAGTACCAACGCTGCAGGATTCAATTCAACGTTCCTCGAAAGTTGATGGTCACATTAAGCATTCTCGAAACAAAATAGTCATAAAATGTTGGTCGTTACGTGCTAATCAACTTTTTTACATCTTTGGATCACACAAACCAGGAATTTAGAGAACGTACCCATGCTTTATGGCGCTGCAGTATTTTTTTTTAGCCATAAATACTAGAAAACAGGACGGATCATCATTTTTCTTCCCGTTAAAGTTTAGTTCAATTAATGCAGTGCAGAACGTTGTAGAGATCTCACTTCTATCCGTCTCTGATGATTTGGTTTTATCAACTGAGTTGATAATGTAACCAGGCCACTGTAAAGAGATTCTAAAGCTGACTTTTTCAGCGTTAGCCCTTAGCTTCGCTTTAACAGCCAATTTACTTCATCAACTCCCTCAGGTGATAACACAAAATTATCTGGAAAAAAACCCTGCCGACAAAGCACCACAGTTTGTTAGCTTGTCTGCTTTAGAAACTTCAAAATCATTTATTCGTCTCTGTTCGGAGGTCTAAACGCTTTCGTTTAGCTCGCCAGTTCAATATTCGATCTTGTATGTGCGTCAGAGGGAAAATTATAAAGGAATTCGTGTCTTCACACAGCCCTGTTATTATCCAGATCTGGATAATGGCTACATTTAAAAATGGCCAGGGTTATTTCTACCAAAGCAACTAATGTTTTGTTGACAAGAGAGAATGAAGGGCGATTTATGCCGTTGCTGTTTTGGTTGAGCGGTAATTCATAGTCTTCATTAACTGACAACCCGGCTCACGGTGGCTGTCGTTTTGCTCTAATCTTCTATCTATAAGCGGCCAAACAAACGAGAACATTTATGAGTCGATATTGAGAGGAGAATGCGGAAATATGTGAAACCTTCCCTGAAAAAAAAACTGATTTAAACCCGACGATCGAGTCAAAATATTTTTTAGTGGACTAGCCGTTGTTCCATTCTACCTTAACCTTGTCCTCTTGAAGCTTGGAAAGCACGTGGAGCGTGTCATTCTTGAAGCTTGATCGCTAGAAGAAGAATATCAGTCTTGAAGAGGACAGTCGGACCTCCACCAAGTACCATGCTCGTAACGAAAGGCACCAAGGACTCTCGGCCTGTCCTTTTCAGTCTCCTCGATATGTTTTCTCTCATGCGCTTTACGGCAAATTTACTTCCCTTTCTTCTTTTCTCTTAGGCCGCTGTGACTCTGACTGACTGCTCGACTCTGGTCGACTTTTACTTGCTCTGATTAACTGATTACGAACTCTAAATTCGCGATAAATTCTCTGACGAAGGCTAATGCTCGAAACGTCAGCTTTGAAACTCTTTACGGTGGGCAATTTATATTATCAACTCAGCTGATAAAACCAAAATTATCTTGATATAGTCCCCAGTGACGCAGCATCGCAGTTTCTTTCGAAACTTACCACCTATCAGTCATTGGTCTAAATTAAGCGCCTGTCAGTTTAAAATGGATAGGCTTGAATGGGCATGTGGGCCAATTAACATTGGAGCAGATATGTAACGAATTTAAGAAAATAAACGACTCCATTTAAACTGAGGCGTCGTTGTGGTGTGCTTAAGGATGTAGAAGTCAACACCAATCAAGACGTTTTCTACGCGTGCTGTTAAAAAGGTCTTTAGCGCTGATCGTTTGGCAGGCTATCCGAAAAGCAACTCTTACGAAGGGCCATCCCAAACGATCGAAGGAACATTTGAAATTGATCAGCGTCGAAAACATTTTGACCGGTGTTGACTTCCGCTAATGAAAGTTGGACAAGACATTACTTTCAGGAGAGTCATCACGATAGCTTGAACCCCAATACCTTAGGTTTTTTTATTCAAATCTTAGCCAAATGTTGACCGTAAACAAATTACTGAAATCCTAACTAAGTTACTAAATGCCTCAAAACGCCTGTTTTATCTCATATACCTGTATCATCGACCTAAGTTTGTTAAGTTTGCCGGCTTTTCAATAAAGATTATGAATTACCGCTCAACCAAAACAGCAACAGCATAAATCGCTCTTCATTCTCTCCTGTCTACAAAACATAACGTGAATTCGTGGTTTGTGTGATCCAAAGATGTTGAGGAACATTGGATGGAATCCTAGAGAGCTTAAGAGCAACTTTCTCTAAGCGAACCAACATTTTGATACAGCTACTAGTTTGTGTCGAAAATGCTGAATCGCGACATTTTTCTGTAAACCTTTCATACGCTCACGAAGGATCGATGTCAAATGAGTACTTGTCCCACAATCTGTATTAAAAGCTAAAACTGTCTGAAATGGGCGTCGTTAAACGTAAATCAAAATAGGTCATCAGACAAAAGGAAACAGTATTTCCTTTATTAATATGTCACGTATCATGTTCCCTTTAGTCCATATTTTTACGCCATGTTTACGAGCGACGTATTGGAAAGTCGCCAAAACAGCATAACACTAAAATCGATGTATCCGAAGAGTATGGAACTTTTGATCGAGTTTGCTTACACAGCGCAGATTCGAATCACTGAAGGTAATGTTCAAGACGTGCTACCGGTCAAAAAAGCATAGTAATTGTGACTTTATACAATCGTAACTTAGAGATTCATGGCTGTTTGGATTTAAGTCAAGCAGCAGAAAAGTTTATATTTCACCATTTTTTACAAGTCTCAAAGTAAAGAATTTCAAACCTTGCCCGAAGACCGCTTGGTCGACTCAATAAGTCGAGATGAACTTTTTGTGAAGTCGGAAGATGAGATGAGGTTTGAATCAATGATTATCTCATCCGTTGACTCTCTGCATTGACCTTTTTAGACCCCAACATCAGTATGTATATTCTCCATACTGTTCTCCATACATTTCCTAAGGTGCTGACAAAGAGAGTTCGCTCAAAGATGTAGATCTTCTTTTTATGATTATCATTTTCCCTCATCCATGTGACTGAGGGGTGATATTGTAAGGAGAAATTAGATGTTAGTCACTCTAAGGAAATTTCAGTGAGGCAAATAAATTAAGTATCAATTGACTTCAAATATGATTCATATCAAATTTCTTAGATTTTTAGATTTTTGCAGCCTTGTTACGATGGGTAACTCATGATCTGAAGAACAGAACACAGGAACTGAAAGGATCTACTGAAACATATACGGGTGCCTTTTGTTTCAAATACTTACCTCAACTCAATCATCCAATGTTGTGAACAGGGCATGAGATCTGAGTTTAAAGGAACATTGATTGAGGCCTTTTCAGGGAGTATTTTAAAGCATGATCTCCCTATTTGCTTAACCTCCAGGAATGACTTCTCTGGGTTCACACACTACCGTAATCAGTGATTTCTCAGGCGATCAAAGGATGTTATTTCAGAAACAGAAAGTAAAACAATATCCTTCCTGTTTTCCTGATTCCACCAGCCTTGCGGATGCATTCAACAATTTTTTTCTTCAGTAAAATTGACAAGATACACAATGCTTTTACAGAGAGAGCTCCTGAGAATGACCTCAGTTCATCTCATACTACTGACAGACCTCTGTGCAATGTGCAGATTCACAACTTTGAACAAGTTACTTTGGATATGGTAAAGAAATTTGCTGTGAAGACATTAATATAATCATGTGACCTTGATACACTTCCAGCATCTGTTCTAAAAACATGCTTTCCCATCATCCTACTTACACTAACCTCGGTTATAATCATGTCCCTCAAGAATGGTGTCATGCCATATGCTTTGAAAGTTGCTGTATTAAAACCGCTTCTCAAGAAACAAGA